GAACCCTTTGATCCATGGACCGTCGAGTATCAGATCAGAATTGATCGTGAAGAAGACGTAGTGTTCTTAGTCTCAACGAGGAAGCCTAGAACAAAAGTAAATAACCTCAACAAGGTGAGATTACTACTCTTCTCAAGATCAAATCGATGTTTGATCTCAAGGGAAGAGTGAAAAGGCTATAGATCTCTCGAAATCTCCCGCTTTTTGCTGAAGTTCGCCAAGATCTCGCCTCCCTCTCTCTGGAATTCATGGGTTCTGCTCTCAAAATGTCAGCAACTCGCCTCCATGTCCAAAATTCTATATTACCTATGTATAGGGGTGCTAGGGGTGTATTTATATGTTTCGTATGTCATGTTTGTGGATAAGAATTCGTGATTTAGGGATGTTCCCAAGGTAGTTAGGGAGGCAGTAGATCGAACGAATCCCGAGAAACTTATCAAAAAATGAGTCGTCGGAAAAGGCTGTATATGCGAATCACTTCAATGTGACTCATCATTTGCGAGTCACTCTGATATGACTCATCATTTGCGAGTCACTCTGATGTGACTCGTCATTTACGAGTCAGTCTGAAGTGACTCATCATTTACGAGTCACTTCAATGTGACTCGTTATTTGCAAGTCACTTCAATATGACTCATCATTTGCGAGTCACTCTGAAGTGACTCGTCAATTTGAGACTTCCTGATTGTGTCTCTTCAGTCGTTTCGCGCATTTCGTCATTTCGTATGCGTTTATTTGCTTCTTTTTAGCCTTGGATGATCTTCTTTGACTTAGATATCAACGTTCTTCGTCTTCTCTTCATTTTGAGATGTGTGCGGGAATCTATAGGTAATTTTTGACGCCTACAGCAATGTTTGGAATGCAAAGTGATAAGTCAGTGGTGACTCCATTGGCTCCACATTTCAGGCTCTCAAGTAAACAATCTCTCACTACAGTAGAAGAGAAGGCACACATGAAACGTGTACCTTATGTTAGACCCTAGAGGGGGGTGATTAGGGTCTTATGCTAATCTAATCCGATTTAAATGCCAATTAAAACTAATTAATAAGTTATCCTAGCAAGTATGAAATACAACAAGAATATAAGCTAGGATAAGCAATATGAACAATGGGATATATCCTATATGATAGAGATATATGCAAGGATATATAAACAACACAAGGGTAAATAATCTAAACAAGATAGTGGATGAAATAGATAATGAGCTAATGACAATGGCGATATAAGATATGAACATAAATATGAATGAACGCCAAAGCACACTCAAACAAGCAATATGATCACGGAGTTCGGACCTTCCGTCCTACGTCTCCGCTCCCCACTCTCGGGGAGAAATCCACTATCAACTGGGTTTTCTACGTTCACCCGAATAACGTTTACACCTCACAGTATCGGTTTTCAACGCTCACCGATCAACGTCACTCCTCACACTCGGTTTCTAGCTCACCGAAAACCTCACTACACACTCGGTTTCTAGCTCACCGAAAACCTCACCTAACACTCGGTTTCTAGCTCACCGAAAACCTTACAACACTCACAATGTAACAAATATAAATTTGTTCTCTACAATAGATGAGAACACAATGAAAGCACAACTCAAAGTTACAATCTCTCACCACCCAACTATACTATGTATGAAAGATACAAAAGCTCAAGTGGGTGTGTGTAACAATGAGATTCAATAAATCAAAACTAAACTCAATTAAAATCTAGCATATAGAAATTATAAACAAAATAATAAATAGCTAGAAATGAGTTTAGAGATTCTTCTCTGAATAACAAGATGGAGAGATGGAGATTGAAGCCCAAACAAGAAGATGATCTCCTCCACTTGTGAAAACTTCTTCACAAACAAAACAAACCCTTAAACACACTTTAAACCCTTGTTTAAAACTTATTTTAAAAACTTCTTAGATACTTGAAAAGAGATCAGCAATTGGGTATTTATACCCACTCAAGATCTAAACAAAAACCCCAAACAAAATGACAAAACAGACCCCAGAAGACAGCTCAGAAAAATAGCCGTTAGTGTCTAACGGATCTATTGTCGGTCAACCGAAAATCCTGTCGGTCGTTCTGGACCATCGTCGGTCGACCGGAAATTCTGTCGGTCGACCGATGACTCTCTGGAAAAATACTAACGAATGGTCAATTTACCGGTCGACCGTACCGGTCGACCGAAAACTGACATTCCAGAAAAAATTGGTTTTAGAGCTGATTTTAAAACCCTGTTTAAAAATATCAAATAAATTCCAAAAAATGTAAAACTTTGGGAAATGATTGTAGACATGATAATAAATATGCTATAATGACTGGTTTCGAAAAAGGACTTCCCAAATGAAAAATATCATCATTTTACAAACTAGTCCAAACATGAAAATATGATGTACTTGAATTTTGATGTTTTGACATAAACCAACTTTTGAAACTTTGTGAAATGCTTTTATAGACTTAGTAAACTGATATTCAAGTCTACAAACTAAGAATACAATATTTTCACAAAATTGCATATTCTATGCAATATATTCAAAACACTAAATATGATTTCATTAAATATAAGCTCGTTAAAGATGAATATTTTCACAAAATTGCATATTCTATGCGATGTATTCAAAACACTAAATATGATTTCATTAAATATAAGCTTGTTAAAGGTGAAATCATATATAGGCATATAAACATGAAACAAAATAGTATTTTCTAATTCTATGCATTTTTTCATATATAAGCCCGAAAACTATAAAACCAAAAACATATGTATATATATATATGTATATATATATATATATATATGAAAACCAACATAATGTGTGTGTATAGATATTGAGCTTAACGTACTTAACACACATAATATAAATCCTAAACTAAATTACCCAAGCTAGATCTTGATCTTCAATAAGCTCTTCTAGGTAATCTCGCGGATGAAGCTTTAACTTGGATCTTGAACTTTGAATAGCAAGGCTTCACCGACATTCCGCCAACCTCCTTTGGATATGATCGTTGAAGCTCTATTTCATCCATCCTCCAACTACGTTGTTTGTCTACAATAAATACGAAAACACAAATACTAGACAAACAACATTAGTGGTAAATTGTTTGTTAAACAACATCAAAACAAGAAGGCCAACACCTTATGCTAGCGCAGTTAGCAGTTTAATATACGCAATGGTATATACATGTTCAGATATTTCACAGGCGGTCAGTGTTGTTAGTAGGTTCATGGCGAATCTAGGAAAGACACGTTGAGAAGCAGTAAAATAGGTCCTGAGGTACTTGAAGGGTACTGTTGATATGGGTATATGCTTTGGTGGACATACGTGTCAGATTAATGTGTTTGTGGACTCAGATTATGTGGGTGATCTAGACAGACGACGATCTACTACTGGTTATGTGTTTAGAATACATGGTGCTTCAGTTAGTTAGCGATCGATGCTACTGGCTACAGTGGCACTTTCTACTATAAAGGTTGAGTACATGGCCATAGCAGAGGGAGTGAATGAAGTATTGTAGTTGTGGGGTCTTCTAGATGATTTGGGGATTAAGCAGGATTGTGTGAACTTATGGTGCGATAGTCAAAGTGTGATTCATTTGGCTAAGAAGCAAGTTCATCATGCTCGTACCAAGAAGATCGACGTCAGGTATCAGTTTGTGCAAGATGTCATAGAGGAATGTAATATTTTTCTCATGAAGGTGCACACAAATAAGAATCTCGCGGACATGTTGACATGGGTGGTGACGAGTAGCAAGTTTCAGCATTGCTTGGACTTGCTTCATATCAGCTCGTGTTGATCTGCCCAAGAGGGCATGGCCCTTTGGGGTGGTGATGGGGTGAGTTGGAGACTATATGGAGAATAATATTCAGAACTACAGTTAGCTTGATTTAGAGGGTACGTAGGCAGCCATGGTATAATGGTTCAGCTATATATTTTTTTTTTTTGCCTTGTTTTGGTGTTTAAGATCGCTCCTGTGATGTTCGTGGTATTCTTCTGGTATTCGTCTAAAATTTAAGGTTTATCAAATGATGTACAAGATGGATAATTGTGAGCGCGAGACACCCTTGGATGTCTCGGCTGTCTCGGCCCAAGACAGTTGGTATTTGGGCCCAGATTCGATTTTTTGGCTCTATTTTCTTGGTATAAATAGGAACGTCATCCTAGGGCTTCAATAAAAGGGTTTTGCCGGCTGCAGCAAAGAGTTTTAACAGAGTTTTTCAGATCTAAAAAGGTGAGATCTTGAGGAGAGAAAAGAGAGAGAACTTGGAGCGATTGTACAAGAAAGAAGTCATCTTCTCTTGGGTAAAATCGAAGCCTCGTCTCTTTGGAACGAGCTTGCTGGTTGTGCAAGTCGTCGGTGCTCTCCATCATAGTGTAATATCCCTTCACCCCCTTCCGTGGACGTAGGTAATTTTACCGAACCACGTCAATCTCGTGTCTTCTTTATTGTTTTGTCGTGTATTGTCTATTGCTTGTGTTGGTTGGTTTCCTCGATATTCAGATCTAGATCTGATATTGGAATAGTGTATATCTCACATCACTGAGATATTCACTTCTGTTCTTGTTTTATATCGAAACTAGAACATCGAGGTTGGCTTGAGTTTTGTGAAAACAAAAGACAAGGCTTTCTCTCGAGGTGATTTGCTTCTGCGGCGAGTGGACGTGACGCCCCCTTCAACATTGGAAGTCCTAATCAGATACAACCACCAAGGATTTTGTAGCATACTTTTGTTTTAGTGAGCCTACTCATATTATTTGTAATCCACTATTTGTCTTCTTCACGTCAGCTGATGGACAAAGTAGTAGAGTAACGTTCATGAAATTTTCGATGTCCTTGGTCGTCGCTGCTGCTTAAAAAATATTGTGAATTTTACATCATTATTCAATGTAATTTGTTAGCTACTCTTTGTTTATTGTTTTCTCCTTGTTACAAATATTATGTTGTAAGGACAATATCAAGCCTCCAACAAAAAATCAATACTCCATCTTGTAAAATTTTCCCGTAAGTTTTGTTCTCATTATATTCCGATGGAAGTAGTTTCTCTTGAATATTGAGTAATTGTACGTGCTTTAAAGCTTATGTAGATAGAGCAAAAACCAATAACAACAAAATGAAATTCTCTGCAGCCTACAACACTATAATCCACAGGAAGGCATTCACATGCTCTTACATAACTTCTCTCTGCATCTTTTGATGAGGCAACGTAAACTGATTTCCTACATACTTCTCTCCAACATCTCTTGATACCTCTTGAAGGACTCCTGTTTCTGAATCTTTATCTGCCTGTGGAATCTCCTTATAAACAAATCAGCAGCTTTATCGATCTCATTCTCAAGTCCAATGTCAGCAAATTTGTCATCAAACTCATCTAATTCAGGGATTGGATCCATCAAGTAGGGGTAGTCATCTTCTCCCTCTTCTTCTTCCATGTCTTTCGCCATTTCACTGTGTGTGGATTTATATTCTATGACAGCCTTGTCGTAGTCATTCACATTCTCATCAGCCTTCACTGAATGAACTTTTTGTGAGAGAACACTCATCAGTGTCTTCTTATCGTGAAGAATCTTGAAGAGCATTAACCGGGTCTTCATGGCACTGGTTTTGCTCTTCACCGCGGTTGATTTGCCTTTGGCCATTGCGACCAGAACGGAGATCACTTGCTTCAAGTTCTTCATCTAGAGAAGAGTAGGGTCACTGAGTGGAGGTGAACAGAGAAAGTTGTGGAGATAAATAGAGTAAACTTTGGCATGGAGATTGGAGGGAAGAGCTTGATGGGTACTTATAGAAGAGGGTGAGGGAGGGGATAGAATGGTCATTTTGCTCAATTAAAATACATTGCATGGTGTGGGCACTAAGAAAAGGTGAGAAAGTGGGAGGAAAAAGCTACTAGAGGGAAAGCAAAGCAAACCAAAGCAAAATGTGGTATGAGGGAAATTTGGCACCATTAAGTGTATAATTTGGTCCATAGCTTTGAGGCCTTTGGGGGTTTTTTTCAGTTTGGTTTGTTAAGTTGACAGTTGTGCGGCATAGTGTTGTGAAATCTCAAGAAGTGGTTCTTGACGATTGAAAGATAAGCTAATTCCTAATGGAATTCAAGGAAAAGATCACCTAGGCAAAAAAATTGTGATTGATATAACTTATCTTTTGTCACTTGAGTGCTTTTCCTTTCCATCTCTGTTTTCTTTCACATATTTTTCTTTAGCTACACGCTTATGAACTTCTAGTTCTGCCCCCCAAGCATAAAATTTGTTTTATTGTTCTTCAGCATATGATTCATAAAGTTTACAAAGAAAAAATTATAGCTTCTTTTAACATGTAACATTACAAATTCTGAAATATGGGAATGTGTTTCTGCTTTATAATCTTGGCTGAAACTACGCATAAAACGTTGGATTCTATAGCGTAGTCGTCTCAATTTATTTAGATATATCAGCTAAACTTTCCCCTAAATTTTCTCGATATGTACCTTATATTGGTTATCCTGCTCGTATATTTCTAGGTAATTGTATTGCCTAAATGGTTTAAATAAGAATCGTAACTTAGCTGAAGTGAGCCTTTACCTAGCTGAAGTGAGCCTTTACCTTGTCAAATGCACATAAACTTTGTCTAGTTTTAGCCAAACGATAAACATTTGGGGATCAATGAGCTCCAATTAGAGCATTTATTTGTGAGGCTAGCATTGCTGTTAATTATATAGTCATTAGCTTTATTGCCTATGAGAGCTGAAATATAATCTCATGCCTCTTTTTTCCAAGGTAGAGAAAAATCTAACAATTGATATTTTTCCTGCATCCTACTAATCAGAAACAGTGAGATGAAGGTTAATAAAATGTATCGCACCTTTATTTTAATATTGCATAATGTAGTTATTCATAAAATTCATCGAAAGTTAGATGTTTTCTTGAGACAGAAATTTCAGAGGATATGAATGTATACCTATTCCTTTCCGTTTTATTATAATTTGACAGTAAACTTCCTGGAAGCTCAACATGACATACTTTTTTCTAGCATACTCTTTTCTTTTTCCATGACTTAGCTGGAATATTTAAAAGGGAGACTGAGCTCCTTTATAGTTATATGAATGCACTCTCGATTCTTCACTTCTATTGTTATCACCACTTTATGAGACATTTGGCCGGCTTGTTAATTTTTATTGGAATTTAGGGAGTATGAGTAGTTTAGCTTCTTGCAAAGTAAACTAGCTATATAAGGTCATTTTTCATCATTTGTCACCTTAAGATCTCTCTCCTCCTGTGCTTTCTTCTTGTAGTGTTGAACTAATCAATGTTTAGCATGTTAAACAACCTAAGAGCCATAGTGTGATATCCTACGTGGAAGGGAATCCTAAGAGTCAAAGTATAATAAGTGGGGTGGTATTCTAAGAGATGACTCCTTGTATTCTATGCAAGTAAATGTGTAGAGTTAATGTATGGAATATGAAGGGTCATGTATAAGTCTATATAAACCCATGAGTGGGAGAATTTGATATATGAAAAAAAAAACATAAGCACCAATTCTCTATCTTCTTCTACATCTCTCTCTCTCTCTCTAATTCTCTATCATACTAGCCTTAGCCAAAGTTTTTCTTCACTACTCAGTTCAGAATTACAACATGGTATCAGAGCTTCGTTACGACAACTGAGTGTTAAGAAACCCTACCTCTACAAAAACATCAACACCCACTACCAAAACTCTTCCAAATAGCCTCCTCAAAATTACCAATACAACTCTCGATTCTCCAACTTCATCTCGGATTCAAGTGGCTGACCCAATAGTCATTGAGTCCGACCCAAAACCTACCTTCGGCGAGATACGAACACCGATCTTCTCCGGGAAGAACTACGACTTTTGGCGGATCAAGATGAGGACGATATTCAGAGCGCATGACCTTTGGAAGCTGGTGGAGAAAGGTTTCGAGGTGCCAGAAGACGAAGACTCTCTCACCCCGGCGGAGCAGAAGACATTAAAGCTTAACTACATGAGGGATGCCAAAGCCCTCGGGTTGATCCAAAATGCCGTCTCCGACTCCATCTTCCCCAGGATCTCCAACGAGGAGACAGCAAAGGCGGCGTGGGACATTCTCCAAGAAGAGTACCGTGGAAGTGAAAAGGTACGGGCGGTTAAGCTTCAAACTATTAGAAAAGAGTTTGAGCAAATCTCTATGAGAGTAGAAGAAAGACTCGATGATTTTCTTACTAGATTCACCAATGTTATAAATCAATTAAAAACATATGGTGAAGATGTAACAAATCAAAGAGTAGTTCAAAAAATTCTTATTTCTCTCTCTAGTAGATATGACCCCATTGTAAGTGTGATAGAAGAAACAAAAGATATGGAGAAGCTTTCATTACAAGAGGCAATCGTATCCATCAAGGCGTTTGACCAAAAGCTTGAGAAGAGGAATGAAGCTTCTACCATGGAGAGAGCCTTCCAAAGCTTCAACATGAGCTCAAATCAATAACAGAGCCAGAAGCAAAAGAAGAAGAAGCAAGGAGGCAAGCCCAATTTTGCTCCAAAGCCTCAACAACAACAACAAAGTGGCAACTCACAACAAGGTAGCAAATCCACATGTAGAACTTGTGGCAAGTCTCATCAAGGGAAGTGCTAGTTCGAGGGGAAGCCCAAGTGCACCAACTGCTCCAGATTTGGGCATACCAAAGAGCAGTGTAGGACTCAAGGAAATCAAAACCAAAACTGCCGGCAAGTCTTTGCAAACCAAGAAGAGGACGGCAAAGGTAATGTTTTCTTTGCTTGTCATGGAGGAAAAGATAGTGATGGTAGTCTTTGGTATATTGACAATGGTTGTAGTAACCATATGACCGCGAACCGGTCACTGTTGATAGACTTAGACACATCCTATCTTGGTAGTGTAAAGATGGGAAATGGGAATATTGTAAAATCTGAAGGAAAGGGTATCTTGGATGTAAATACAAAAAAAAGAAAAAGATACATCAAGGATGTAATGCTTGTACCGGGTCTAGAGGAAAATCTGTTAAGTGTAGGTCAAAATACATCAAGGATGTAATGCTTGTACCGGGTCTAGAGGAAAATCTGTTAAGTGTAGGTCAAATGCTCCTGAAAGGTTATTTTCTAGTTTTTGGTGATCAAGCAGTGAAGATCTATGATGATAGGAGTTTTAACAACTTGGTGGCCAAAGTCAAGATGCAACCCAACAGAAGTTTTCCTCTCTCACTGCACTACTGGAACACTCAAGCTCTAAAGGTCGAAGAGGTGAACTCCTCCTGGCTATGGCACAAGAGGCTCGGACATCTCAACTTTCAAAGCCTCAAGACTCTTCAAAGCAGAGAAATGGTGTATGGCCTCCCAACCATTAAAGAAATTAAAGGTGTCTGCTCCAGTTGCATGAAAGGCAAGCAGCATCGAGGCGAGTTTCCAAAGGAAGGAGCATGGAGGGCAACAAAGCCTTTAGAGTTGATCCATACAGACCTACGTGGTCCAATGAAGACGGAGTCCCTGGCCAGCAACAAATATTTATTACTTTTATTGATGACTTTAGCAGGATGGCCTGGGTCTACTTTTTGAGGCTCAAATCAGAAGCTTTCACCGTCATCTAAAAGTTTAAAGCAATGGTGGAAAGACAAACAGACCTGGAGATCAAGAAGATTTGAAGTGATCGGGGTGGAGAATACACTTCAGCAGAGTTCGAGGACTACTGCAGCAACCTTGGCATCGAGAAGCAAACCACATGTCCATACACTCCTCAACAGAACGGAGTGGCAGAAAGGAAGAACCGGACTATCGTGGAGATGGCCAAGAGTCTCCTACATGAGAAGAACCTTCCCTACAAGTTCTGGGGAGAAGCAGTCAACACCGCAGTGTACCTTCTCAACCGGTGTCCAACAAGAGCATTGGAGGACATGACCCCCCTTCGAAGCATTCTCAAGTAGAAAACCTTCCTTAAACCACCTTAAGGTTTTCGGTTGTGTTTGTTTTGCTCACATCCCAGGCCAGTTGAGATCCAAACTGGAGGAGAACACAAGAAGGTGTATCTTTATGGGATACGCAAGCCATACGAAGGGCTACAGGCTCTTCAACCCGAAGACTCAAAAGATCGTCATCTCACGGGATGTGGTTTTTGACGAATCAGCCAAGTGGAATTGGGATCTCAAGAAGGAGGAGCAGGTGCCCACAAGCTTCATCTACCTAGATTTAGAGAGCACCCAAGATCCAGATCCAGAGCCAGAAGTGCAAACTCCACAAAACGGTTCGAGTTCAACAAGCTCCGACTCAACCACACCAAGATCAAGTGCTAGCTCCTCAAGCACACCATCCAACTCTAGTCCCAGTTCTTCTTCCTCCTCAGGTACAACTCCATTAAGATACAAAAATCTTAATAAGATTTACGCTTCATGTAATTTTTGCATATTGGAGCCTGAGTCATTTGAAGAAGCCATCAAAGAAGAAGATTGGAAGAAAGCCATGCAGGAGGCAGAGAAATGGTGTATGGCCTCCCAACCATTAAAGAAATTGAAGGTGTCTGCTCCAGTTGCATGAAAGGCAAGCAGCATCGAGGCGAGTTTCCAAAGGAAGGAGCATGGAGGGCAACAAAGCCTTTAGAGTTGATCCATACAGACCTACGTGGTCCAATGAAGACGGAGTCCCTGGCCAGCAACAAATATTTATTACTTTTATTGATGACTTTAGCAGGATGGCCTGGGTCTACTTTTTGAGGCTCAAATCAGAAGCTTTCACCGTCATCTAAAAG